CGAACCGCGGTCGACTACGTGGGAGTCCAGCGACATAGCCGTTACGCTAACTGCTGGTTCCCCCTGGCGTGAGTTTTAAGCCACCGGGTCCGGGATGCGAACCGCGGTCGACTACGTGGGAGTCCAGCGACATAGCCATTATGCTAACCGCTGGTTCCCTAGGGTTAGCACTTTTAATATCCTATTTAAGATCACTTTGCCTACTCTAGAGTTGCAAAGATATTTGTCTACGTTTTCTTCTAGAAGTTTTGTAGTTTCAGCTTTTACCATTAGGCTTACATCCTACTTCTAGTTTATTTTTGTGAGTGGTGTGAGAAGAAAATTAAGATTCATTTTCCTCATAGTATCAAATAAAGTAATATCCTACTCTAGTTTTAAACTTAAAATTTCCCCAATCTGTGCCAGCAGGTGGTGGTTAAGGCGGCTGGATTTCCACATTGCCAGCTACAGTTAAGTACCAACCTGGTGGCTTGAAAACCACGCTGGGCACATGTGCATGCACACCCAAAGTCCCAAGAGGAGAATGAAGGAAAAGGGATTGTGGCATGGCCATTCTCCCGAGGGGTGATTTCTCACTTTCCCTCTCTCACCTCTCTGGCAAGTGCATAAACCTTGTGGTAAAAACCTAATAAGAAAATTAATTTTCCCAGTTTCTTTTTTCTTCCTTTTTTTTAAAGGTTAGTCTCACTAGGTTATGATCCTCCCTGAGCCTCCCCAATAGCTGGGTTAGGTGTACACCACTGCGCTCGGCCTTCTGGGAAATGAGCCTGCACCTCCTTGTGGCCTCAGTGTCAACTACCATGGCCCCAAATCCATCTTGGCTTAGCTAGCATTTAACTTCCTGAGAAAGAATCTACACAAAAGAACATATTTCACATAATAAAATAAAAAACATCTGCTTTACAATTAGAATAAACCTTCTCATTAGCAAAAACTCTCATTAACCTTGACTAATGTAAAATATCTGTGTTTAATGGTATAATTTCTACATAACAAAACATTTTCTTGATGCTCTCCCAAGAGGAGAATGAAGGAAAAGGGATTGTGGCATGGCCATTCTCCCGAGGGGTGATTTCTCACTTTCCCTCTCTCACCTCTCTGGCAAGTGCATAAACCTTGTGGTAAAAACCTAATAAGAAAATTAATTTTCCCAGTTTCTTTTTTCTTCCTTTTTTTTAAAGGTTAGTCTCACTAGGTTATGATCCTCCCTGAGCCTCCCCAATAGCTGGGTTAGGTGTACACCACTGCGCTCGGCCTTCTGGGAAATGAGCCTGCACCTCCTTGTGGCCTCAGTGTCAACTACCATGGCCCCAAATCCATCTTGGCTTAGCTAGCATTTAACTTCCTGAGAAAGAATCTACACAAAAGAACATATTTCACATAATAAAATAAAAAACATCTGCTTTACAATTAGAATAAACCTTCTCATTAGCAAAAACTCTCATTAACCTTGACTAATGTAAAATATCTGTGTTTAATGGTATAATTTCTACATAACAAAACATTTTCTTGATGCTCTCCTTATATGTTACTAAATTTGAATTTGTAATACATGACAAAGAGTACTGAAACCATCAGTAACTTAAACACAAATGTCTTCTCATCTTTACCTGAAGGTCCAGACCTAAGTACCACGTTATGAAGCTGAACAAGCTCACCTGAGTAGCTGCAGACTGACAGGAAGATGACGATGACGACGAGACAACAGGAATGTCAGACTGTACAGCAGCCACAGTGGTAGCGGGTGTGAAAATCAGCTGTACAGACAGAAAACCAAAAAAATACCCTAAGACAAAAGAACGTGTCCCACACACAATGTATAGCAGGCAAGAGACTGAAATTTGTGACAGAAAGACAATGCAGTTTAGGACCATCTCCTAGGCAAAAGATTTTACATGACAAAGAAGTTTCTGATAATAGAGAACTAAAAAAAAAAAAAAAACCCTATAATTTTGGAAACAACGTACATGATTCTGATGAGTAGAACAATAAATCAGAGCTCAAAAAAGAAAATACATTTTGGTGATATGAAACCCTCAGACCAAATTTGGTCCTGAATAAGCTATTATATTATACTTAATTTTTTCTAGGTCAAAATGACTGCTATGCCATGCTGGAGCCATATGCGAAGACTCCAGGACCAGCTCCGGGTCTACACAGCCATACTGGGTACAGCCTTGATCCTGGCTGGCGGTAGTGCTAGCGGGGAGGATTACAGCGTGAAGACCCCATCAAGAGTGCCTGACTGTCTCTCTAAGGAAATAAATAAATAACTTTTAAAAACAAACAAAAAAACCTACTGTGGCAGGATTCCTAAAATAGAAAATTTGGATAGACAACTACAGTCACTATTTTGGGAGACACAAATTAAATTTCAATGAGAAATATGAAAAGAAACATCGAAATGTCTTTTCAGCCTTTCAGTCTTTACCACAAGGATAACCAGGCCACCTACCATACTAGGATATTCCACTCAGCTACAAAGCATCTATAGGGTAAATCCAGGTTGCTCTTGGTTTTTAAACTATTTGTAAAGCAATATTCTTTCTAAATGTAAATGCCACATGTGAAAATTCTACAAAAGAGCTTGCAGAAAGCCTTACATCTGAGGAGGAGAGATACTTATTTACTCATCACTATCTCTTTTCAAGTATTTTTTCAATGTTAAACAAATAAATGCCATTATTTCTAAGGAAATACAATCCACTCAGATTATCCAATTCAACTTAGTAAACTATGACAGTTGTTTCAAAGACTATGCAAATACTGTTATTTCAAAACTGCATTAAGAATTATCAGTTCCTTACTGCTATTTAAAGTAAAATGGCCAATTAAACAACCTTCTAAACTTCAGTTCATTATATTAAATTCAACAACACACTATAATTTTCAGGAGAAGATGATTTCCAGTACAACCAGCCGGAAAGAGTTAAACCTAAAGAGAGGATACTCCTTTTAATTTGAACCATGGGAAACTGCCAATTTCAGATGTCAAAAATGGTCAAAAGGAGCCAGATGGTGGCACAGCAATAAAATGCAAGGCTCTAAGAGGAAACGCCACATGAGAAGGTTCCAGTTCAAGTCCGGAGACCTTCCGAGTGCACCGTGCAGGCACCTGCCCATGGTCTGGAGTTGGCTGGAGACAAGATACGGACTGAAGTGTCAAAAGCCTGTTACAGGAGCACACGTGCTTTCTCTTTCTCTCTTGTGGAAGAAAAAAAAAACTAAATAAAAAAAAAATTAATCCAACAGTCCTAGCCATGATGTTGGCTGTAGGGGCAATACTGTGCAGTGCTGGAGACCAGGTGAGACAGTTCCAGCAGGGTTCACGTTCCAGGTCTGCCTGAACATGCAGCGTATGTCCATGACCCTGGCTGTAGGGGTTGGGTGGGGGGTAATGCAGCATGAAGACTTTGTCAAGGGTGCTTGTACTCCCATCTCTTTCTTTTTTCTTAAAGGAAATAAATATATTTCTTAAAAAATTAAAAGCAAAGGTCAAGCTAGCCAGTGGCCTGGTGGTTAAGGCAGCTGGATTTCACATGGCCAACTGCACGGTTCAAGTCCTGGTAGCTCAACAAACATGCCAGCTGCGTGTGTATGCGTGCCCAAAATCCCAACAGGAGGGAAAAACAGAGGACAAGGGATTGTGGTATAACCATCCCTCATGGAGGGTGTTTTCTCACTTTCCCTCTCTCAGTCTTTCTCCGATAAATGCATGGGACACACACCTCTGGCAAATTATAAAAAAAAGAAAAAGGTCCGACAATACAGCAACCATTTCAAATGATTAGATGTTTCAACCTAAATTTTAACACATATTATTAAATAAGATGTTATGGGGGGGAAAATCTAGAAATCTGGTAACATCTACTTAATAAAGTAGGACTAAAAGGTGAGTTATATCATTATTCCTGTTAGAAACATGACTGGAAATGGCCTTTGCAATTTTAGGTAGAGAATAAGGGATCCAGATATACATTCAGTTCACTGGACAGAAAAGAAGTAAATATAGATTAGAATCAAAGTTTTTGTCTAGCTTTCTGTACAGACAGCATATAAAATAAATGTCAATCAATTTCTATATTCCTTAAAGAAACTCGATAATGAAATAAGGACATCCCGTAGGTCCTAAATACAAAATAACTGAATTCATATTTCTATATTAAAGATCAAAGTGAGCGTAAGAACACAAATAACCCTACAGAAGTTGAGATGGGACTAACCAAGCTAAGAACCATCTGAGAAATTACCAGGAGCTCTAATCCAGATTTCGAAAGATCCCAGGATATAGATTCTAGCTCACAATTAATATTTCTACTGAGTCATCAGAACAGTTATAATGCATTTTTCTGTTTTTCTATGCAAAAAATGTGTTAAGACTTTTCTAACAACCCAGTATGTCATTGAATCTGTCAGAAATATACAATGATTTTATTTAACACTGTAAGTATCCATTGTAATTATAAAAAGCCGTTAATGATAAAATGCATCTCAATTTCAGAGATGTTAAAACGTGAAGAAATGTTTTGACATCATTGAAATCTATTATTAAAATAATGTTATGGAATTTCTGTTACCTTCCCAATGTTGTTAATTATTATTTGATACCAAGAAGGCCTACTAATTAAAAGAATTTTTCATGACATAAATATGTAAGAGGTAAGCGCGCACACACACAAATTGTGAAATATTTCTTAAATATTAAAAATGCCTCTTATTGTATCAAATCAAGAACACTTTGATCTCTCAAGCCCTCGAACACTGAAAAATCTGGTGGCTCATATCTTACCATTTGAGCTCGGAGATACATTTGAGCTTGGCTTGCCGTTAAGGTAGGGGAGGTACTCCCTAGTAACATAGTCTGTTGGGTAATACTGCCGCTGGTAGAACTGGCAGCCTGGGAACGGCTTATTAACTGTGCAGGTGTAGGAGAAGTGGAGAGGTTGATCTAAGGAAGAAAACATAGTAGGTCATAGGCTTCCATTTCTTGCTTCCACGTGACTGAATTTCACCAAGCTTCAGCTAGGCAATCAAAGGTATTACAGCTAAGGAACAAAAAAAATGAGGACCCTCTTTGACAGACCCCATGACTTCTTCGGGCAGTCATTTGCACATGTGTAAGCAAGAGCACAGACTGGTTAATAACCAGTTTAAGTGGTTTAAAGGATACTTCACAATGTGTTTCAATGAGATTTCCAGTATTTTAAAATATCATTTCTACCACCTTATAAAAATTAGGAAAAATGTTCTATTATTTTAATATTCTAAATAACTGGAAACATTCTAGTCAAGGGTTTACACCATTTGTCATATTTTGAGGGTTTTTTGAAGTGAACAAATCCATTCACATATCCCAAACCATACACATAACCTACATTTAAAGCCCTGACTCAAAGGCTACAGAACAGAAAATAAAACTGCTTCTTGTCAAACAGATGGGAAAATTTTGTACATTGGCTGTGAAATTCAATTATAAATACCACTTAAAAGTTTAAAAACTGCTGTTGGGCCAGTCAGTGACATGGTGGTATGGATCCCATGCGGCACAGTTAAGTTCCACATTGGTGGCTTGACAAATACGATGGATACCTATGCATACGTGCTCGAAATCCCCAGGGTAGAAACGGAGAAGGTGTGGTGGCATGACCATCACTTATGGGAGTGGGGGGTACTTTTGCTCTCTCTCTCTCTGTCTCTCTCTCACGAGTGTACATGCTCTCTAGCAAGTTTAAAACAAACAAAATATGTTGTTAAAGAATAAACTAGTGTGGGGCCACTAGGTAGCATGGTGGCTAAAGCACTGGACTCCCACATAGTCTACCATGGTTCAAGTCCCACATGCATGTGTGCCCCAAATCCCAGGAGAACGGAGGAAAAATTATTGCAATGTGGCTATCACCTGGTGGGGAGGGTGATATCTCACCTTCCCTCTCACTGTATTTGTCTCTCACTGACGAATGCACAAGTCCTACGGCATTAAAAAAAAAAAAAAAAAAAAAAAAAAAACCTTTAAAAAATATTTTGGGAAGACTACCAAGTAAATGTGAATATGGACTATATACTAGATGATATTATTATCTCAATGTTAAATGTCTTAGGTGAGATATGGTTATCTGGGGCGTCTCCTTCCGACACTAAATTACGTACCACTGAAATGTCACTTATTTTCAAAAGTTCAGAAAATAACATACACATTAGATACAGAGAAACAACAAAAATGGAAGACAACAATGGGCATCGCTAGAATAACATACACATTAGATATAGAGAAACAACAAAAATGGAAAACAACAATGGGTATTGCTACATGAAGGATATATTTACTGAACCTACTCCTTGATCCAGATCCAGAGATAGCTGGATGAACCGACTGATCTCCAGCTAACTAAACAACTAAGTTTTACAGAAAATTAGAATATGGAGAGGATCAGCCCCGAGTTATACCACCAGTCAGTCATACAATTTAAGATTAGAATCCCAATGCTGGGCCAGAAGTTTAAGGTGCTGGATTTCCAAATGGCTGACTGAAGTTCAAGTCCCCAGTCTGGCCACTTGCTTTTTCACTTTCCCTCTCTTTTTCTTTCAGTGAATGTGTATGCCCTATAGCAAATTTTTAAAGTAATAATAATTGGGGCCAACAGGTGGCATGGTGGTTAAGGACACTGGATTCTCATATGGCCAACCGTGGTTCAAGTCCCGGACCTGGCAGCTTGCTTTCTCACTTTCTCTCTCTCGCTCACTCACTCTCGTTCTGTCCCCATCTGGTCAAAATGAAAAATAAGCAAATAAATAAGTAAAGTTAAATAAAATAGTTCTTTAAAAAATCATCATCATCATAATAAATTAAACAAATAATTCTTTTTTAAAAAATAAAAGAATCCAGTCCCTTATCTCCCCATTCCATCCACCTTTCTTGCATGATACACCACTGGGTTACTGGCGTCATCAGGTACTCCTGACTTGAATTTTCAATGATCTGCACAGACACCACTGGCCTCTCCCAGGACCCCAAATTCCCATGCCTACTCAATACCTACAAGCGCTTACCTACTACACAGCACAAAGTTCACATGTCCAAAACTGAACTCCTGATATTCTTCTCCAACAACTGATTGGGCTACTCCATCCTTCCAGGTGCTTGGACCAAAATATCATGGAGTTATCTTTTATTCTTTGCCTTTCCTCATACCTTTCATTCAATCCAGCAGAATATCTTTTTTCTTTTTTTAAGAGAGGCTTTTGCTATAGGGTGCATGCGCTCACCAGACAGAGACAGAGAGACAGAAAGCGAGAAATCACCCCTGGGGCGGATGGCCATGCCGCAATCCCCTCTCCTCCATTCTCCTCTCAATCTTGGGTACACACGCACACGCGTCCGGCATGAGTTTAAGCCACCGGATCCAGGACTCAGACTGCAGTCAACTACATGGGAGTCTAGCAACATAGCCATTAGAATATCTTGTTAGCTATATCTTGAAAACATATCTAAATTTCTATAATAAAATGCTGAAGAAAAAAACAAACTTCACCATCATGGTTAAGCTGCCAATAACTCTCCTGGATAATCCCAAGAACTATTTAACAAGACTTCCTGCTTGTTTTTGTCCTCTACAGCCTACTCTCAACAATGCAGTTAAAACCAGAATGAGATCTTGTCACTCGCAAACTGAAACAGCTTTTTTTTTTTTTTTTTTGAGATTTTTCTTTTGCTATAGGTCACATGCATTCACAGAGAGACAGAGACAGACAGAAAGTGAGAAATCAACCCCCCCCCCCAGGAGGGCATGGCCAAGCCACAATCCCCTCTTCTCCACTCTCCTCTTGGGATCTTGGGCACACGTGCATGTGCGTCCAATGTGATTTTCAAGCTGCTGGGTCTGGGACTCAAACCACGGTCAATTAAGTGGGAGTCTAGCGACGTAAGCACTGCACCATCTGCTGATTCCAAAACAGCTCTTGAACAGCTTCCCGACTGTCTTACAATACCCGAAAGTCTCATCGTACTTCCATGATTAGGACTACAACCACGTCTCCCAGGTCATCTCTAAACCACACGCCCACTCTACTATCCCACCTGTCATACTGTCCTGTCTCATGAGCACGTACGCCCCCCTCACCCCACTTCAAATACAATTAACAGGCTTTTCCTGACTACCCTAATTAAAATAGGAAAGCCCCGAGCCCAGCCCCTTTGCTGTCTCTCTCCACAGCACTCAGCACGAGCTCTCATGTCGTGCACTTGCTCACTGCCTGTCTATCCTACCAGCACACATTTTTTTAATTGGGTTACGGTATCCTTAGCACCCAGAAGGGTGTCCGGCACATTGTAAGTGCCGAGCAAGGGATCAGTCTGTGGTGTGGTGGTGAAGGCAGCTTGATCCCGTATGACTAACCCCATGATTCAAGTCACTTGAGAAACGTAGCAGATACATTTAAAAACATGCTCAAAATCCAGAAAGGAGAGACAGATGGAAGAGAAGGGACTGCAGTGTGACCACTCCCCATGGTGGTACTTTCCTGCTTACATCCACACCCCCTCCAGTGAACACATGTGCCCTCAGCAAATTGAAAAAAGAATTGCTAAGTAAGTACTGGTACACGAATGATGAATAAAGTCATAAAGTTAACTAGGCCTTAAATCTCGTCTTATGTAGCATACTAACTAGAACACTATCAAAAGCAAGTTTTCCCCTCTTTCTTGACAGAGCAGTACAGCGAACTGAAGTGGAAACCTCTGGGGCTGGCTCTGGCACAGCGGTAACGCGCAGTAACGCACAGACATCACCGAACTCCAATCCCTCTGCCCACTCAGCGCCTCCAACCCCCAGGAGAAGGCAGCTACCGCACAAGGACCACGGTTTGACTCCCCAGTAGGTCGGGCTGAAACACTGCACACATGCAACTGCCCCGAATCCAGATGCTGGAAGACTAGAGGGAAGGAACTGTGTTGCCAGAACCTGTGGAAGATGCTCACTTCTCTCTCTTTCTCTAACATGCACACACTCTGTCATGAATTTTTAAAAAAATAAATTTTTAAATCTGGGATTCATGTAGATTTCAAATCCAAAGAGCAAGAAAGAAAAAAAAAAAAAAGAAAAAGTGGTAAATGTAGCCCTTGAGTCCTTTAGAGACTTCATAGTTGTACTTTCTAGACACTTCATTCTTTCCAGTTGAAAATGCCCAAATGCTGAGAAGAGAAAGCATACATATAAAGCACATATGTGTATCTGAAACACGAATACTATCTCACTTACAGTAAAACGAACACAATTAACCACAGGCCTATCCATGTGCATTATACATGTAACAGAAATGCCCGGTAGGACGACAGGAAAGCTTCCTACTAAACTTTGTCAAGGCAAATGCAGATGTTGAAGGGAGAGGGTTACTTTTATTCTATACATTTGTGTTATCTATAGCTTAAAAAGGAGTTTATTCATATTTTATTTAGGCAATATAAAAATTACAAAATAGGGACTAGGAGGTGGCACTGTGGTTAAGGTGTTGGGCTATCACAAGGCTGACAAAGGTTCAAGTCCTGAGTCTGGCAGCTTAAAATTTACACTGGGCACATATGCATGTATGCCCAAAATCCCAGGAGAAGAATGGAGGAGAAGGGACTGGGTGTGGCCATCTCCCCTGGGGAGTGATTTCTCACTTTCCTTCTTTCTGTCTCTCTCTCTGGCAAGTACATGCTTCCTATGGCAAAACCTGAAAGAAAATTAAAAATACAAAATAAAGTTCTCCAACCTCTTTCCTCAGAGACAACTGCTAATAACCATAACAACAGCTTACTGTATATCACTACTGACAAATGCCCAGAGTATTTTCACTTTTTTTTTTTTTTTAACTTGCTATAGGGTGCACGTGCTCACCAGAAGGACAGAGTGAGAGAGAGACGGAAAGTGAGAAAGCACCCCCTGGGGGAATGGCTATGCCACAATCCCT